CATTTATTAATAGTGAGTAAGGCCAGCAGGTCGATTTCCCTTGGTAGCATTAACATTTGCCACGTGTATGTCATACAATTAATATTTGAAACACAACTATTATTCGAACTTATGATCGGACATAAGTATGATGTGCACTTCAAGGTAATAAAGTAATACGAGTATCATATTAATGTAATTATCATAATCATCTGTTGGGTTTTTCCTCTGTTTGTTGTTCAATAATATATCAATATGTCATGATGGTAACGCATGGTGTATCACATTGGCATTATCCGTTGGTTGTTCAATATCGTGTCAATATGTTACCATGGTAATGCATCTTTAGATGGTAACGTACCGAAATCTTTACCTCTATCTCCATCTCTTTATAGTGCAATATGTATAACAATTCAGCAACCATCATTATTTAGCCTTGCACAAAATTAAATGGATTTATTGGCTTCTCTTCACGGTTCTTGAAAAATGCGCACTTTTACTCATGTTTCGGTCCAAGATGGCTCCTAGTCATTGTTTATGGTGTTAAAATTATATCAAAATTGGACATATTGTATTAACCTGATATCTCTAACACACTAGCAAAATACATACACAATCAATGCAATTTCAAAGACGGTTTGCACACACTTTGTTAGTAAAATCACAATTGTACATGCGTATTTGTGAAAGCATTGTTAAAGTGACATCGAACAGAGTACACAAGTCAAACAAATGCTTATTATACAGCTTGTACAAACGTCTTTCCGCTCACAAACCATAATATGAAGATCACACACCTTTTAAATTGATTGATTCTAGAGATGTTCGAGATTTTGTTACGCGATTTTTTGAAATCTCGTGTGACTTTTGACTTCCTATGGAGGGCGCCGTATTGTAGAAACGAGGACGGAAATGTCACGTGACTTCAAATCTCGCACCCTGGAGTGGGGTGCAAGTTGTTTTTGACAGCATATGCGAACGGGAACAATGTTATGCGAGTTTGAACTCAATGCGTTTGTAAAGTTGACACGATCGTTCGAAAGGAGTGGTATCGATATGGAGAACTGAATTCAACAATGTTTTTCTCTTCAACCAATCATTGTAAACACGGTATTTTATGTAATGTTAACTGATTGACAACAATTTAATGCAAAAATTATTTAAAAATATTTTATATAACTGTTTTTAACATTTTTTGTTTTTCTAGTGCAATTGTTTTTGCTCCTTTCTACCAATTCTTGAGAATGAAATAAAATGTCTTTCCGAACCTTGTTGGAACAAAATAGCAAATACAACATGTTTTAGATCATATAGACCTCTCAATATTATAGTTATACAAAGAAATTTTTGGTTGATTTTAAAAAAGTATTCAAAAAATTAAAACAAAATCCCCCCAAAATAGATAAAAATCAAGATAAACCTTTTATTTCATTAACAAGATACTTTTTTAAGGTCAACCAAAATTTCCTTTGTACAATTACAATATTGAGAGACCGAGACATGTTGTGTTTATGTCGTTTTGTTCCAATGAGGTTCGGAAAGTTGTTTCATTTCACTCTGGAAACATGATATCAAGAACAAAACAAGTGTTTGATATGTTTTCTAAAACAATATAGATGAAATTATATATATATATTTTTCTTTCCAATTATATTGTTATCATTCAAAAGATGACCATTTAATTGACAATGTGTAAAATTTTCAGAATTTTTTGATGACTGGTTTTTAAGAGAAACGTGTGTTCAAAAAGTTCGCCATATCGATACCCCTCTTTTACTTTGATCTTTGTGTAGTTTGTTCAGTATTCTATGCTACTTATAATACAATTCGTGTGACATTTCAACATTGCTTTGGAATTTTGCAAAATGATTTAAATCAATTGTAACTCTTTGTGTGACACTTGATAGAACAAATGTGTGTGTGTGAATGAATATAAGTTATGTAAGAAAATTAACTGTTTATAAAACATAGATTGAAAATCGCATACGATGATGCGAGTTTCGCATATGATGATGCGTATTTCGTATATTATGATGCGAGTTTTGAATCATGTAGTTCGAGTGTCGCATCAAATGGTTTGACTTCACATGGATCATGTATTGTCCAATTTTGATACAAGATAAATTTGTTAATTGTTGCAGACATTTAGATTTTGTACAATTTTTTAGTTTTATCATGTTTTAGGGTGTTTTGTGATCAGCATATATTTAATGACCGTTACCACAGGAGCAAGAACATAAACATTTTAGATACCACGTTTTATGAAAATGGACATATAGAGATCTACAATCTGCAGTCATTTCATTATTACACAATCAAGTTTCTAACAAATACAGCGTTTCAATATTCATTTCCTGTTGATTCCGGATAGCCTTTAATTGCATAAAAATATTCCAAATGATATGTGATGGTAAATAGAAATTTAATTTTTAGAGAACAAAAAGATGTCCTCGTGGCGCAGTTTAGCTTATTTCAGCAGTTAGTATAAATATATAATTATGTGCACGTTGATAAAGTAGATGTATGAATAATACTGAAAATTCTGATTTTCTAAACATGACTCTAGCAACTGGGTGGTAAATTACTATGGTAACTAAAATGAAGTCAAGCAAAGGCATATCAAGCAATTTCTGGCAGAAAATAAAGTCGACTTTATGCAGGGTGGAAAAATTATAATTATTTTTGATTTGTCATGGTCATAATCTGTATCCTGTGTGTGTCGTGAAATATTTCCAAATTTTTCTGTGCATGAGACATCACTTCTGAAAGTACTGTATCTTTCATACCCGGGCTTTCATACCAAACAATAATGAATTTGAACCCTTCAAATGATCTCAACACAATTTCCATCAATTAAAACATATATAGTCATCTCTTAGAGAAGCAAGAAATGTCTCCCTTGCATAATATATTAGCTTATTTGATATGTTTCAAGTCCAATCATTTAAGTCATGCATGATGGTCAAGTACAGCACAGACTGATTGTGTTCAGGTGGGTGGAGGACATTTTCAGAAAATCTTTTCATTGAGTAATTAAATGTTGAGCTTGTATATTCATACTTACACAAGCTCTTGGCAATGAATTGTTTTTTTCAATTATTGTAAGTATTGAATATAATACATGACTAACAAAAAAATTACAATGGATTGGAAAGTGTTCCAATTTTTTGGCCTGACTCGGATATTACTAATCTGAAGTGACATCTAACAAAAAGTTTAAATGTACATTCGTATGACATTTTATTTTTGAAATAGTGTGTCCTCTGTAGAATCTTCCCATTGGTGTTAATAAGATAATGTGTTTTGCACTGGTGGAATATTTGATGATTAAAGAAATTCAATTTTAATTTGAAAAATGGCGGGAAATTTCTTCTCAAAAATTTCTCAAATAGTAACAGAAAATAGTAAATGAATGAGAAAAAAACATTAAAACATTGCATGGAGCCTTGATGGTTGATTGAAGTCGATTGTTTAAGAAAAAATATAATTATTTGTCTAAATGGCTTTACTTTTTCATTTTACAGATTAACAAGTGCAATCGTCGAGCTCCCAAAACCCAGAAAGTAATTATCTAGTCGTTTAACTGTTTGTATGTTAATGAAATATGGGAATTCAAAATTGAAAAGTGCCCCATTTGTAAACTTAGAATCTCCATATCTGTTTTATTTAAAGCAGGAAAAATGCATGATGTGGATATCTAATGGTCATATTCAATCATACAATACTATCCCACGTGAATCTACTTATTGAGACTCGATCAACTTGAGGTCTGAGAAAATGAGGATTTCAGCAAGGGTGCATTGACTTTGGGATACAATTGACTGCATACCATTGCACATGATGTATGTTTTGACGGGGATATACAAAATTCTCATCATCTCAGAAGAAGTACGTTTATCGAGGACCAACAAGTAAATTCATGTGAGAGAGTATTAGTAGAATCCATTTTGAATAGGGGTAGGGGTTCTTAAATATGACATTTTGGTTAGCTCTACCAAGCGCACCTACTCCCAATTGAGTTATAAAAGGGACCTCTTCTTTATATAATTATACTCAATCAGGGTCACTCATACACAAAAAGGATTAATATCGCCGATGGACGATTTTTTCACACCAGGATGAATCATATGTTTAATAACATTAAGTGCCATATCAGCAATAACATATTTTTTATTCTGTTTTTTTATTTACCAAAATCTTTTTACATGTTAAAAGCCAGAATGGCACAATTATGGGTGCTCCTACACACGATACATCATAATGTGTAGAAGTACAAATCTTACAGATATTCACCAAATACCAATTAGAATTAATTTTCTAAAGGTTTTTGTTGGACCCGACAGATGTTTAGGATATGTATGTATAAATAGAATAAATATCTTAAATCTATGTCACATTTTTCATAATATTAGAACTTTATTAATGGCGAGAAATAAACTATATCAGATATGTATAAAACACCATGCATTCATTTTGGTGCATAAAAAGTAAAATATCAACATATGTGAGGTTAGATTTGCCAATTCATCCTTTTTCTTTAGGGTAGGTTTGTGTTTTGTTCCAGAAATCCTTGATCTCCAGTAATACTATACGAGGTATGAATTTCAGATATTTTAGTCAAACTCCATTAAAGCTGGAGCACCAGGGGTCAGTTTTTGGTACGATCGTAAATCACGATTCTTAGAAAACTATTGTCTACTTTAAGATGAACAATGCCTTGCGACCAAATCGTAAGTTACGACAGTTCCAAAAACGAAACAGTTTTTGTATCGTTATTTCCTGAACACCCTTATATTGAATAAAGTTTCTTAATCATAATCCATAGGCAATAACAGTATGATCTTGGGATAGAACTTCAAATGTAAAAATCATGTAGTAAATCTTATCTCTCTGTACATCGAACATTCCAAGTAGACACATGCAAGGGGTTTATTGTAACTAAGTAATTTCCTATTCTTACAAGCGTTTGTTCATATCTTTTCTAGATTAATTTGATGGTGAGCTAAATTACTTTCACCAATCCACTATTTTCCAAACTACTCCAGAAGATGTTGTTACTCAAAGTCATTGAGTTTTCCTCTCACTCCATCTAAGAGTCATCTTTATTCATTTGTTCTTATGATACGTTTACCCAACCAATCGCCCATCCTTTTATCACTTTCATTTCGTTTTCCCAACCAATCGCCCATCCTTTTATCACTTTCATTTCGTTTTCCCAACCAATCGCCCATTCTTTTCATATCTGCATCTCTTTTACCCAACCAGTCACCCATTCTTTTAATATTTGCATCTCTTTTACCCAACCAGTTACCCATTCTTTTCATATTTGTATTTCTTTTACCCAACCAGTCACCCATTCTTTTCATATTTGTATTTCTTTTACCCAACCAGTCACCCATTCTTTTCATATTTGCATCTCTTTTACCCAACCAGTCACCCATTCTTTTCATATTTGTATTTCTTTTACCCAACCAGTCACCCATTCTTTTCATATTTGTATTTCTTTTACCCAACCAATCGCCCATTCTTTTCATATTTGCATTTCTTTTGCCCAACCAATCACTCATTCTTTTCTCACTTCCATCTTTCTTACCCAACCATTCACCCTTCTTAGCCATTGATTCATACATTGCTCTCGTTGCCTGCCGTTCCAATAGTTTATTCTCTGTACTTTGACCCCTCTTGCCCAGCCATTCGCCCATTCTTTTATGATTGGCTTCTAAGCTTGACACTCTTAACCATTCGTTCATTGCCTTTCTTTTCACCGCTTGAATGAGGTCAAGATTTCCCGACCGTTCTCTCAGTTTTCCAAGCCATTCATTTAGTTTTCCCAACCTTTCAATTCGTTTGTCCGTCGATTCACCTCGTTTGCCCAGCCATTCACCTCGTTTGCCCAGCCATTCACCTCGTTTGCCCAGCCATTCACCTCGTTTGCCAAGCCATTCCCCTCGTTTGCCGAGCCATTCACCTCGTTTGCCAAGCCATTCACCTCGTTTGCCAAGCCATTCACCTCGTTTGCCCAACCATTCTTGTCGCTTACCAAACGATTCAACAGCACGTTTCTCGTTGCCTTGCCATTTGTCTAATTTTGGGGCACAAGATGGACAGCTGTTAATGGAGTTTGCAGAATAGTTTGTGGATCTCTTGGCAATACGTGTAGGCTCAAAGATAAGAGATTTTTGTGGTGCGGCAGAGTCGCTAAGTATTATTAAATCAAAATCTAATTTTGGACTGTAATGAGATTTGCTACGCCTAGAAACAAATGGTTCATTTCTTCGTCCTTGCCATTCGCCCATTTGTATATATTCTCGTTGTCTTTTTGGATTCTCCGTAAAAGCTGACGACGTTCTGGTTGGTTTAGGGAAAGGCTCTCCCGGAGTACCACCGAGGAACTGCGGACTGCGTTTTAAAAACCCAACCGTTCCACCGAGAAATTGTGGAGCTCTTTTCGGAAAGCCCAGTGTGAGCATAGGTTCATACATGTAATCGGCACGTTTGTATGTGTTATCGCCATTCTGTGAAGGTTTGATTATATTCAAAATAGTTCTTCGTAATGAGTTTTTATATGTTGCATACCTCGCATCAGACGGAACGTCAGAGATAATCCTTTTGGTATGAGAAATTTCTAAAAAGTAAAATATGTTCATTTTGTATTATTACAGACGGTGACAGTATTGTTACATACATAAAGACCAACGTATAAAATTGACGTCTGTAATTAGAGAGTGCAATTTACGACTACGTTCATTTGTTCTAATAATTATGATTACTCATGGCGTGTGTTTTTATTAGTTACCCGTTGAATTGAGCATTACTAGATTGCTTTTATTTTAGCACATGTTTTTTTATGTTAATCCTTCAAGTACAACTTTGCAATATATCAAGACAATATTTAAGTCACGAACACAAGATAATAACTATCTTTCTAAAAGCAAAATAACTCTAGATTTGAGGTAGGGAAATAGGTTATCTACTACATGAGGGCTCTCGATGAATAAAGTGGTTACATTGAGATCTAGCTATTTATGAGAGCGTCGCATGCATTACGCTACTTCCGCCGCTGAATATAATCGCAGCACTTGCGCCATAGATAGCTGAGAAGAAGATGCTGTTTGATACATTGTATAGAAAATAACATAAATGAAGATCGCCATCTTCACAGAACAGAGTTGTAATATCTCAAAATATTGAAATAGAGAAAATCATTGTTCAACGTATCTTGTAATAGAGAGTTGATGGTGATTCTGATTTTGATTGGTCTTAATCTTAAAAGTATCTTATCATGTTCTTGTCTAGATCTTTTATTTCGCTCTTTGTAACAACTACATTTAGTTTGATAGAAAATAAATTCCCATACGCAATATCTAGGTTGTGACTCATTTTACTTTATTTCATTGTGACAATATTCTCAAGTTTGCAATTACATAGACTTTCTCTAAACAGTCGCTTAGATTGACCTTCAGCCTAACTAAAAGAAACTAAAAAGGGTAAAGACAATAACGACACCAAAGTAGATGAAGGGGTGAATCGGGTGAATGCAAAGGGGGTTAGCTTAAATACAAACATTATACTAATAGCCTACTGGATATTACATGTAGTATTACACTATATCTAAACAATGAAAATTCAACTCCTTAAAGAGTTGAATTTGTTAGAACGATGTCTTATAATGGCCAGGAGGACGCATGGGTTAATGGGGAATATTAAATTATGTAGACGTTTTTATATTCCTCGCCAATGGAGCTCTCAAAGGACGTTCAAATAAGACCATTAAATTTTTAGGCGGTATGATAGTGGTATAGATAAATATTCACAATGTTTTAGATGTTTCAACTTTTGTCTTATAGCATTTTGAAGAATGAAGATGACATAACGTTTTGCGATTTACTGAAAATGGCTGTATAAGATCACTCTTTTGAAAATAATGACGGTGCAAAAGAATTAAATTGTTAAACTTGGTAAATCAAAATGACGCCACAAACGAATCGTAAACTACATGTAGTCATAGATAAAGTCGATAACGATGTGATAATCGTCCTTACGTATTTGTCCCAAATAATAACGTTCACAATAGATGGCGTTACTCGAATTGGTGTAAAGCGGAGGAACAATTTACATAAAGATTTTTTAATCAAAAATAATGATTGAAACATTACTCACAATATGACATCTAAAGTGTCTATATTCTGCGTTCCTGTATTCCGCATCAGTTATTCTGTATATTATGACATAGGCCTTTTATGTCATAAAACCAAAATGTGAAGCTGTTAAATGATACGTCGTCATATACTATCACTGCGTGAAATGTATCCCGCTAAATCTCGTTAAAAATACGTACTCAAATGGCAATAATAGACGAAACATATTGATTATATTGACGTATGATAATTAAATTTTCAGGAATTATTTAGATGTATTATTCTTTTGTTAATACTAAGTATACAAAAATGCATTCAATCAATACTTTTAATACTTATTTGACTTGTGGTGGCTCATATAAAAAGCACCTTTGTCGTTTTGAAAAGTTCACGGGCTTTAAAACGATAAAAATGACGCGATATAAGTACCTGACGACGTTGTTACAAATATACTAAAGAAATAAACATGGGATGTGTTTATCAACTCACAAAACGATATGTTGGTCTACTGCATAGAGCTAGCCACGGTCTGTCCAACACTCCAATGTGATAAAACAACATTAACAGTAATCTACTAGTTACACAATAAGAGGTCTAAAATGGTAATTAGTCGTGTATGTAGTCAAAGGACTTATCTTAGGAAAGAGAACTTCTAGTTTGTATGCTACTAATATTATGTTAATCTAAGTAAACTAGGATAACAGATTGAGTTGTCTCCCTGTGGTCATTGTACATGTCTGACGTCACAGCCATACCTGGATCGGGCATGTAGGGTTTTGTCTCCTACGGCTCAGATGCTTATTTTATGGTAATTGGGATAGTGAAAACAAGGAATTTATAGTCCCGCGAGCAGGATTTCCTAGTTGTGGCTATACCAGGGGGTGGAAACGTGTAGAGTATTTTCGTCGAGTATAGGAAATACACTACTAAAAACGCCATTTTAATCAAAGAACGGTTTTATTTTGTGTGAACCATTTCTTATTACTTCCTCACCTTCCAATTCACTCATCATGTTCCCAGTGCATCAAAGAAACATTCAATTGTTAAAATTGACAACCAAAATTCTAGTTTTTCAATAATGTGGGATTCACCACGGAATCTTTTAATTTTTCAAAATCAAAATATTTTTTGATTAACCAAACGTTCTGGAAAAACTAGATGGCGATGGATGGCTGGCAATTAATAATTGATCTGTAATTGTTTGGTAAGGAAACACTACAAAACGTTCACAAACTGGCCGTATAAAATTACACCTACCCTTTTTCGGATGAAAATACTCTTCTCGTTACCACACCCAGTACCACACCACTGGCGTGGATCCAGCCCCACCCCCTTTGTGGGCCCAACAATTTATTTAGGCCCCAAAAATTTTGCAGGGCCACAAAAATGGGCATAGTTTGGTCTTTTTGGCCAAATTATCAAAATATAGGCCTTAATTTTCAACATTTTGGCCCAATTTGGTTTTAGGTGCCCAAATTGTTTTTGCTGACTCGAAATTTGCCCCCCCCCCCTGTTAGTTTCTGGGACCGCCAGTGCACACCCAGCAGAACATTGGACAATCAGCACAGGAGAAACTCTAATCTGTTAAGCATTGGGACACATATTACATATATACACGTATGTGATCTCACTCCTAAAACATTACAGATACGCTCTAGGGACGAATGGATCGGGGTTAGGTCTATCTACAAGCCAGGTATACGCAACCTACTTGCCTGTTAGAGTTACCATAATATTGCTGAATCCAGCTCTTATTAATGCTGTTTCGACCACCATTGTTGGTGATCTGATGATGCATCACCAGCTACACTCTCATTGATATTATTTAGAGTCCGACTGGAATCTTTTGTTTCAGATAAGTCTTTAGTGCTATCAGTTGCAATGCTGTCTGAATAATTCTGTAATGAGGCTGATCTTTTGCCTATAAAGTCCCTTGCCCATGATGCTCTTTTGCCAACAAAATCTCTCGTAATTGCTCTTTTTCCTAGAAAGTCTCGCAAGCCACCTGCCCGTTTGCCAACGAAATCCCTCATACCTCCCCTTTTATCAGAATCTATATCGCTTGCGAGAAGATCTCGTTTCCCAATAAAATCCCTGCGTTTCCCAATGAAATCTCTTCGTTTCCCAATAAAATCTCTGCGTTTCCCAATGAAATCCCTTCGTTTTCCAATGAAATCTCTGCGTTTCCCTATAAAATCTCGTCTTTTCCCAATAAAGTCCCTTAGACCCCCTCTTTTCCCAATAAAGTCCCTCATGCCGCCGCGTTTTCCAATGAAATCTCGCAATGACCTTTCATCGAGATATATCGGCGATTCTACATCGTCGTTTGACATGCCTGCAAAATGCAAACGCATACACAGTTACAAAATTCAATAGTCAACAATCATAGAATGTAATTGAATAGAAAAACATGCATGTATAGGGAAATGCAAAACATGCCTTCTGTAAGAAAGAGAAAGAATGTTAAGATAAACAGTGTTATTGTAAAACAGGGACAGTTGAATTTCAGCGTCAGATCATGCATTTTGCTTTAAAAGCTAGCTCCTCGCAAAGATGTGCATTCTCTTCCTAAAAAGAGAAATCCAGCTAAGATTGCAGATCGCATGCTAGTACATACCAGCTATCCGCTACAGCTTTAAAATATCTAAAATGGAGGAGGCTGGATTTTGCATGTCTTTGCCATCATTCGACATTCCATAAAATGTGGAGCGTTTTCCCATAAACTCTCGCTGAGGGGCTCGTTTCCCCATGAATTCCCTTTGAGGGTTGCGTTTTCCCTGAAATTCTCGCTGTGGGGCAGCTATTCGTTTACCGATGCTTTGGCGTTGGGCAAATCTCTTTCCTGGAAAATCTCGCTGTCTCTTGCCCATGAAGTCTCTCTGGGGATTTCGTTTACCTTCATTTCCATTCAGGAAACCTTTAAAGCCAGTAAAGTCAGAATTGATGTGAGGTGGCTGAATTAATTTCTCCAAATCTCGTCCCCAAAGCTCTCGACCATGATAACCTCGCCTGACGAGATTAGCGCCATGACCATCTGAAGTGCGCGCGCATATTGCCTTCGCATCTTTATAAAAGGAAAGCGCAGCTGCTTTGTCAATAAAGACATTCGGTAAATCTACAGTAAAAAGAAAGAATTAAACGAGGATGTATGTATTGAGGGTATCCTCTATACAATTGTCAGAAACTGAAAGTGCAATGAAGCATACTATTCATCATGCAGCAATCCAAATAATAGCAATCAAATGTTCCAGTGCAAATGTAAATGTCATTCTTTACAAAGCTAAATGCAGTTTACTACGTTCTCATACGAAATCATTTCATTCAGGTACACGGCTAATCTGTGCTGATGATGTAAACGGTTTCATTGTTAATGATTTTATTTTTGATGCTTATTTTTTTTACTAAAGCTTTAAAATGCCCAAAATGTCATAATCATGCTGTATTTTAACAGTTATCAAAAATGAAAAGCAGTGCCAGTCGTTGGGAAAGAAGCCCTCACATCATACCATTGATCTAGCGCATGAAGAAAATGTGTAAACAGATCACCCTTCCAACAATGTTATAATTAAAGAACCAGTCATGCAGAACTCACAACAATAAATGTTAAATGGAAAAGATAAATGTTTTTGACCAATGTGTTCTCCAAGAGAACATTAGATGTTCTCATGAAATTTCTCACTGGCACACGATATAACTATTGGTGTCATGATGATACCAAATCTTAGAGAATGCCCACTTGACTTTCACTTTACCAACTGGGTATAATACCTTAAGAGACGCTTTAATATAATTGCATCTGGGGAAATAAAATTGAGAATTATCATTAAGAAACTGAAAACGTTATAACTATTAAAGATGATATTCAACAAAAAAACGTTTTCATTATTTTTTTCCTTTATCAAACTTCTAAATACTATTCTAATTTAATGAACCGACAAAAATAGTTTTTTAGAGATATTTTTCCCCAAGTAAGAGCCCAAGTTCTTAATATTCTAAAATCTATCTAATTTATGTTATTCAAGTTTCTTTACTATGGTATTTTTAATTTAAAATGAATGAAACTACATTTGACAATATATAAATTCAATTGTCCAAAAATGGACAAAGACAAAAACACATAATTATGCTTACAACAAAACATGTGCATTAGTCTATAAAGTATTGTTGAAAGTGTTTGAAGTAAAACGGTTTGAGGTTTGAGTGTACATTTGTCAGAACAAGAGAGACAGATTGAAATTAACAATAGACAATATTATTTTCATGCCCTATCACGTTCTGATCTGTTATATGACAGAATAATTGGTGCTACTTAAATATACGATCGCCATCTCTTTAGGGAGCCACTTACATGATATTTAACAAAATCTGACAAATATTCTGACCACCCCGTCATGACACACCACATATTTGTTGGTTGAAGAGCAGGCCTGATCTGGTGCCCCTTCATGTACATTGTCAATGAAGTAATTGAATCAGTGGTGCTCGATCATATTTGAAATATGATATTTTAATTTTATCTTTGCTAACAAGATCATACTGCTTATGGTAAGGATCACAAGAGGACAGTTGTACCATTGATCTTGGACCCGGATCTTGGAAAGGAATATGGGATATTCGGACATATCAAATTTGCGACAATTTGCAGATCCGCGCGCAGAGTAAATAGTGTAATGATTATTACACAATACAGATATATATCCATATAATAAGTGCACCGTAATTAAATCTCGGTTGTCAAAAGATTTGCCGATTTGTGAGAATTGTATAATCTCAAGAGATTTCTAGCTTACATTTAATGAATATTTAGGAGAGACCTTATTTGTCCCTGTTTGGCCATAAAATATATCTTCAGTCAACTCAGTGTAAGTGCATAATTATGATGTTAGATATTCAGCATTACTAAAATGAAGCCACTGAACTTGTCTGATGTATGCAAATCTGACTCAATAAAAAGCAATACTCTTATCACCTGCTTTTAACTTTTTAGGTCGACATTACCACACTGCAATATCTGGCCATGCTATGGGTTTAAACTCTACATTTTATATTGGCTATTTTGAAGAGATGATGGTTAAAGCTGTTGTAACGTATTTTGAATGATTACATTCGTGTTGATGGCATTATAAGGAGGTTATAAAGTCAAGAGCTTTCTAGATTCTAATGCACCATATTTTATTCAAACACATTTATGAAGTTTCCCGCTAATATATAACACTTTTCAGGCCAAAATAATGAGTTTGCAATGACATATCGTTATGTGGTTTGAATTTATCAATGAGATGTCGAAATATTGAGTGCAAGTGTCATCCATGAATGCCATGTGGTCAATGTCACTAATAAATGTCCCGTATTTAAGCAAATTAAAATTAGGCTGTGTTTTTGTATGCCCGCTGTGCTACTGAATTGGTCATATTTTAATGGGTTTTCTCCCCAGGTATCACTATAAAGAACAATTAGCCCTGCAGTGCTCATTACATGTTCATGTGTTCTCAACAAAAATAGCTCATCCAAGCGCATTTAAAGTCACATAATTCTTTTGAAAGACATCACGGTTTATTGCTATCTAACTCCTGTGGTGCACTAACAACAAGCCCGGCGTGGTTAACACGCGCAGTAAGCCGACAAGATTGACATATCGTAACTAGCAATATAAGTGCGCTTGGATGAACTGTTTTTGTTCAAAACGTGTGACCATGTCATCTACACATCAGGAGCTTATTGTTCTTTTTCCTGATAGTAGGGGATAACTTATCAAATATTGTGCAATTCACTAGCAACGCGGGCAGTTCAAAAACGCAGCCTTGGTGAAGTCTAAAAGTGACGTGAGTATACATGTGAGATTATAATTGTAACTCCATTACCAGCACACACTCATTCCATACTATATTGTATTACATTCCATATGTTAGCTATTGCTATATATTTACTCATATGGTTACTGTTGTATCCAAAGATATCATGTCAAAATAGAATACTCCAGTGCATCTTACCAAATTCTTGACAATATCCCTGAGCGTTACCAGAAGGCCTCGGCGAATTGCAGCATCAAACACCGCTTAAAAATACTTCCTCGCCCATTTAGGAAAAATTACCTAATAATATGAACAGTTACTTCAAAGTACTATTTTGCTTCACGCCTATTAGAACACACCTTTCTAGTATGGATATGAGAAAGCATAGCCTATTATCAGTTCATTTTAGATTTCAATTTGGAAATTAGCTATAGGAAGATGTGATGAGAATCAGAATGACTAAAACACCCTCGAGTAATTCTAACTATACAAACAGTGAAATGACAACATGTACTTTTAACATACGCTATACCCTGCCACACGCTTGTTTGATTTTTCATGTACAGGGTGGGGCAAAAGTGCACGTCTAAAAGGTGACACTCTTTTGTCTTATTCATCAGCATTTCAAATGCATCTTTTTAATTATTTCTTCTGAACAATCATTCTATGTTATATCATTTTCAACAGTAAATAACTAAAAATAGTATTAAAAGATGCGCATACGCGCATGCGCGCAGCTTACAATATATTCAAACGCGCATGCGCATACATATAATACAAATACAGTAGCAATGCAGCATATGCAAAAGTAATACATTATACAATGGAAAATGGATCATTTTCTTTAAAAATATGATGATGAATATCACGAATAAGGTAGAAATAGCTTTATTTAATATGGTCTTTAATTGTGTCCATTTTAAAAATTATGTTACTGTATAATGACGAACGATAACATTACGTGAATTCAGTTACCTGATAATTCACCATTTCGTGCAAGTTCCTCCAATACATATTCAAGCAGTTTGTCATCATTAGACAGGCTGTTATCCTGCTTTAGAGCTATATCATCGGCCCCACTCTCAGTAATGGTCATCCCCAATAGCACCATTATACACGGTATCAACCATGTCGTAGACATTTCGGAGATCTGAAAATAGAATAAAAAAGTCATCGGAGTATGAGTTGTACTCTTCATGAAACTTCATATAAATTTTTTTAAACATATCGTCAACACACTCAATTTCTTATTTTGAAAATAGATACCAAAAGGAAAATCACAATGTGTTTACAAAATGAATACCAGCTTGACCTTCTAACAATGTATTTTGCAAGATCAGTTTCGGAACTTTTCCCACCTGGCACCTTTTAAGACAGAAGCCTGTTAAGGGATAAAACACGATAGACAACAGGGGGGATATAAGGGAGGAAAAATTATACCCTCAAAGTCCAAAGCTATGATCCAGTGAACAGTACAACAATATGTGAGACCCTCTTCCTTACTGTTCAGGACATTTGGTTGATATTAAAGTCATTACAATACATGTTAAATAATGAGATTTAAAAAAATATTTTAGTCTCGAAGTCCATAAGGCAAAGGGTGAATGTACATTTGCAAAGCAGTATAGGGTAAATGCTATATAGAGGTGAAAGACACAAAGAGGTAAACTGTAGAAGAGATAAGTCATGGAAGAAGGTGTGTAATCAAAATGAATAATTAAAGGGACGGGTAAAAGTTTAGTAATTAGATTAGTAGGATATAAATTATACATCAAACAATCAATTACTAGAAGTTGATTAGAAGTACATAATTATGAAATAAGATATGTAGCAATCATTATAACCATAAAGAAAAATATTCTCCTTTCAAAGAACACAACTTTATATTATCGTGATTGGAGAGACAGGTTAACGTGTAATGTATGCCTCTATTTCATCATTTCTCTTATCCACTTAATAATGATATAGCTTGTGCATGAGAAATTGCTTTTTATTTCGGTCTTATTTTTCATTTATCTTATAAAATATAATTACAGGATACTGGCATAATTATAAGCCACGCTAACGGTTTAGTGATGTATGATATCGATATATGGAGGTTAACAAAAGTCATATCAATCAATTATATCACATTGGCAGGGGAATCTTAAAGCATTCCACAAAATAAGCGTCGGGGTATTCAACAGCTTCTGTGTTGTATGGTTTATATAATTGTTTATTGCAACGATGTCTCAGTATGAGAATGATTAAAACAACATTTGGTACTGCATATACTTAGTGGTCCTAAAAAGTTAAACATTTATTAATCGTAAGCAAACCATGTATTTCACCTGTACTATTTTTTACAAAGCATACTTCAATTAATTTTTTATCTACTGTACAGCTAACAGGTGTGTAATCCTCAATTTTAATGCGAGCCAATGTATGAAAGTCTTTATTTTGAAGCTTTTAATTGAATGTTATACACATTTTGTAAAAACATCAACACCAAACAAAAGTCAAGTAATCAATTTCGAAGTTTCAAGTTTTACCACATGAGATGCTGTAGGATGTAGGAATTTTCTAAGAAAGTGTCAATGAACTCTATTTTTCATTTGGCACCTGTTGAGATGGATCCCGGCTATGGCATTAATGGTTGGGATAAATCGATCGAAATCAGCCGTTGTTTTTTCCTTATGACAATTGTAAATTATTGTGTTTTATGGATTACGAAAACGGATAATGACCCTTTGAATTGCCTATGGAATTCGAGACTAGATTCCGTCTATCCCACAGCATTTGCGACTGTATGCTGATTACTTGTATCAAAACCTATTTTTGATATCATGAGTGTTATTGGCTATCATTTTTTCTTCTTCATATATATCAGTGGCGTAGCCAGGATTTGGTGACCGGGGGTTCTATTTTTATGTTATTCACAAATCCCCCCCCCTTCATTAGGGTTTCTCAAATAATGCAATTTGTACAATTACACTCTCTCCAAAAGTTTGGCAATCCTAACTAACCCATTGGATTATGTATTAAAGCATCTTTAAGTTTGAATTCTTATTTGCATAATTTGTAAAGAAAAAAACTATTTTGGGAGGGGAAATATAATTCATTTCAATACCTTCATTAAAGGCAGAATCTGATCTATAGGGGGTGATAAAATTACAAGCAACATGAATAATTGACCTACCAATCTATCCTTACAATATCAAATACAATATCTCCCAAAAGATTCACAACATGTTATAAATTGGTGAAGTTATGAATGATTCAAAGTGCAAAATGAGTGAAAAATGTTTAAATTCTCCCAAATAATAAGAATGGTAACCATTCTTATAGAAAAATAATACATTTTTGTAAAAAATCTTTAGTTTTCCTGGAATAAAGTATGCACTGTTGTGATTTTTAGAAAATAGACATGACAAGGGATGACATGAGAAAAGTCTGGACGTAAAAATGATTTTCAAAAATGACCTTGTAGCTTTGCAACTTTAATGTTCACAAAGTAAAATAAACAGGCAACGTGCAAAAAGTCAGACAACTTATAATTAATTTTCTGCATCAAAATATACTTCGGTGAATCTTTTACTGAATACATATTCTGAAATCTGATTTGCCCCGAATCCACCATTATTTCGACTGATTTCTGGAAGACCCTGGAGCATGATTTGTTTCCAAGGAATATCAACTATTTCGCACAATTTATTCTTTAACTTAAGCTACTTCATCTAGGACAAAATAAATCACCTCATGCAATGGCTTATCATTATTTTTCAGGAAATTTTTGGAAGCCAGTTCGGATCAAATGCAAGGTTATTGAAATTGACGCAAACACCCTATACTCCGAAAGATCGTTCTTCTATGATAACTTTTCACAACGTTTACACGAAGGCTTTATAAACTATCCGGGATAGTCGTATTACTGATGAAAATATATATTATTCAAATAAGTGGGTCGGTTATGCTTTGTTTTAAAAAGTTAAAAATATTTCTTTGGACGTCATCGGAGCTCAGTGGTAAGTTCCCCAGAGCAGATCAACCGCAATTGATAATAAAAACGTTTTAGTGGATAAAATTATACATAAATACAAGCGACTGTTATTTTGTTAAGTTCAGACGGCTTGATAACAAATTAGGCCTTCATTATTTGAAGATAAATACCATATAATTTTTCAATGTTTTTTTATTATATTATTTATTCGCTAAACATTTCATGACATTAACATGAAAATGGAGAGCAAGTAAACTGGAACGATAACAATTTGAATTCCATACAATGTCTTAGATGAGTGGAGTGTATCTGAAAAAAAAACAAAATAATTTTTTGCAATGATTGATTTTTCTTTGGAAAGTGATGGGTAAATAAATACTGAACAAATGAAAGAATGAATGAATTTGAACAAATGCTTGTGTTTATAAATGGTATACGCTTTTAAATAATTCATTTCACAACGTTTTTAATTATTAATTGGTTTCGGGGACTTGCCAGCCCCAGGGCTGGCAAGAGAAACAGAGATGTACACATTTGAAAGAACATGTGTTTCATCAATAAGTTACGACTATTCCAGATATTTATTCGCCAATGTTGTAAAAATCATTCGGAGTATGGGACGTCTGCATTGTTTTCAATAACATTCAATAACTTCGTATTGGACCATAACTGGCTTGAAACAAAATTCCTACAAAGGACTGATTTAGCCATTGCCCAAGATGGGTTATTTTGTCCGAGATGAAGCATGTCAAACGTTTTGAGGGAAGTGTCACTATGACATGTTTTTAGGAAAATAATGCTCTCGTGTTCACCATAACAAATATCAATTCATTTACTGCTCATATTATGTAGTTTTCAAATAGCACAGTAATTTAATGATTCTGGTTATATGCATTTTTCCGCAAAATGATATTTTGGGAAATCCTGACCGGGGGTTCGTTCGAACCCACCGAACCCCCGCTGGCTACGGCTATGTATATCGTTATGGCCTCACAATGAATGAAATGTCCCTTGGTGTTCTGGTTCTGGTTCTGGTCCTGGATTGTGATTGTGGTTCTCGATCTGAGTGGGAAGGGAATGTTAGTTTTTTCACGATAGACAATGGTTTTGGGATATATAAGGTCTATTTTTCTAAGGACAGGTCTACACTTAAGAGTTTACTTTTCTTGGTAGGTTCCCTTACAGCCATGTTGTATTTGAAGTACTATTTACATATATGTTGACAAAAATCAACTGCAGATGATATACTCTACAATCCTTCAATCATGAATAGGCAAAGATGACGTCTTACACCATCCCGTGTTTTGAATACAGTAATTATTTCATCAGTTGCAAATTGACTAAGTATGTTTAAGTATAACTTTTGATATAGAGTACCTAAAATAGTCCCTTAAATACCAGTTAATGGACTCATCCACAAATTATGGTTTAGGAAACACTACTAGACAATATTTGCTTTACCAAAAATTGTTACTGAACAGAGTAATAAAAGAAAAACGAAAAAAAGAAAAGAAAAACGTGTAGGAGTTAGTACGAAAACAAATCCCAACTTTCCGAATTCACAATCCAACGTGAAAAAAGAGTGTCCAATATCCCCTCCCCTCCTCAACCATTCAAGCACCAATTTAACAATCTGAGACCAATATACCAAGAGACACTTTAGTTAATACATGTTGAAGAACAATTTAAAGCTGATATCCAATACTCATAACATCAAAAATTGTTGTAGAAACTGGTATTTATACAAGATAGAGCATTCAGTATCAAATGATGTGGGACAGACAACATCCAATCCCTAGGTCCATAAAAGGGTCAACATCCATTCGCAAAGCCGACGCCATAATCCATAAAAACAATATTTTACAATGTCCATCAAGATAAAACTATGACTGATTTAGATCCCTATTTCTTAACCTTAATTTCATAGCCAAGATCCACCAAAAATGCCAAGTGGAAAAGTGTGCAAAGTGGTAAAGTGAGTTCGGTGCTAATCAAACATAACAAGAGACAAAACCTGAAACTTCAAAATTAATGACTTAGTTACAATAGTCACCTGTTCTGAAAGAGCTAATTTTGGCAGTTTACGTAGAATGGAATCAATCCACGATTGTGATTGTACATATTGCATACCATTTTAATGTGCAAATATTGATGTGGCGCTTGTTGGTATG